TTGGTCCAGAGGCGATGAAAATGGACCAGAGGCGATGCATTGGTCCATAGGCGATGAAAATGGACCAGAGGCAATGCGTTGGTCCAGAGGCGATGAAAATGGACCAGAGGCGATGAATTGGTCCAGAGGCGATGAAAATGGACTAGAGGCGATGAAAATGGACTAGAGGCGATGCATTGGTCCAGAGGCGATGAAAATGGACCAGAGGCGATGCATTGGTCCAGAGGCGATGAATTGGTCCAGAGGCGATGAAAATGGACCAGAGGCGATAAATTGGTCCAGAGGCGATGAAAATGGACCAGAGGAGATGAATTGGTCCAGAGGCGATGAAAATGGACCAACCCTTTGAAACACACAAATTTGGGCATAACATTAATTAACCTCAAAATATGGGATATTAGTTTTCTAGAAAGCTTCAAAATATCCGTTCTATTTTAGTGATAAAACCACCCAAAACACAATTCCAAACCGGATATAAGGGAGTTTTTACTTACAACCCGAATTATGTAGCAAAAGAATACGGGACAAGACTATATATAAGCTACACATACTACAACTATGAGAGACGGTAATAAGCTACTATTTACATAAAAGCAAGATTGATATCTTCAAGTTCCCCGATAAATCTTCAAGTCAAACAACGGGTTCTTTCTTTTTGTCCGTCTTCTTTCTTGAGAGAGGTTGCCACTTAAATGGTAAGCCAATGCTTAGTGAGTTAAATAGTTAAGCATTACATATCAATATCGCACATGTTTATAAACATACATAATAAACTTTTATCAATAAAAGAGTTCAAGACATCATCCAGATGCAAACCGAGACTTACAAGAAACCGAGTGAACAATTACGTACCGGATGCTAAGATCATATGATTCCATATTCAAATCACCATAATATACCATACCATTGATGCTCAATACAACAAGGAGACAGGATCAATGACCAAATATATTCAGCAACGTTAGAATACCAATAAATATCAAGAACCAAGAGATCGAATCGGTAAACATAACGAGGATAGTGCATCACCCCGTCCTTCACCTCCCGGGCTCATGCCAAAGTCCCAGTCAGAATCATACATTACGAGAAACCTCGCACTACCTGCCTTCCTCTACCGGGTATGTGCCAAGGTTCCCTACTCATTGCTCTTCCTCCTCTTCGAGCTATGAGTATTCACAACCGCAGAAAGTCTCACCCGTACAACCCGGGATCTTGACTTTGCCATAAACTTCCGGCGTACCACACGAAGTAGTACCCGTACTATGGCGTACAATTCAAGGAATAAAACATCGAATCCGGATCTAGAAAGCAAACCGATGTACCGAGATAGTAATAAGGAATCGATTCAAGAGACGGAATCAAAGACAAATAAAGATCGTGTGACTCCATTCAAGACCAAAAACATTCATATGAAAATATATATGTTCAAATCAATATGTAATAATTAACTATATAACTCACCGGGCAACCGTACAATACCGAAAAGCTCTGAATGAGCTCACAAAGCAAGTCCAATCTACCACACTTAGATTGCTTCCAAAGTATCAAAACATGTCCTAATTACCCCCTGGAGTAAATGTACAAAATCTCATAAGCAATCAATATAAGAAACTCATGATATGCACATATCCTATTTGAACATTATACCTAAATTTCTATGTACAGCTGCTGCATGCAGAACTGTTTTTCCCATTTTAAGCTTGAATTCATGCCTTGATCATAAAATAAGAAATAAACTAGACTCAAATATMTAACTAAGRAAATTGRCCTYACCTYATTTGGATTTTTYTACGATTTTATACAGATTTTCAAAGTCTGCACACTTTCAATGCATTCTTAAGTCGAAATTCTCATTTTCATACATTTTTCTCAAACCATTTCGATTCCAAACTATTCCAACTTCTGAATCTCAACTTAATATAACATATTTGACATAAACAACCAAAATTCAACCTTTATTTTATCATTTATATTATCTCCCAAATCATTGACTTAATCAAGTCAAAGTTCATATGATGAACTTGCATAAATCTTGATAATCTCTTGAATCTAATGACCATTTCATGCCATAAACACTAAAATGCACTCATTTTATACACTTAAGATCAAACCCATATGAAACCCTAACTCTAACTCAACATGCAATCCATATAACAAAAATGTCAACCAAGAACAAGTGCAAAGAATGAATTATACCTTACTTGATGATCAAATCTTTCAAAGATCTTGTAGTTCTTCTTTGATTTGAGTTGAATCGAGCCTATGTGTGTGAAAAATCGCATCTCTAGTGTGTGTGTGTGTGTGAGTTCTGGACTTATATGACATGAAAAATGGGCCAAAAATCCAATTTATAATGCTAAAACTTGAGTTGGGCCGGGTTGGCCCGGCTAGGTACCCATTTTGACCATCAACACTTGAATTATTCATAACTTTTCGCTCGGACCTCCGTTTTCTATGAGATTTTCGTCTACACGTTCATAAAGAGATAATCTATAACATCCAACAAAAATATTCCAGAAAAGATCTCCCAAAAAAATCGTTTTACGTATCTATTTGACATGATATTTTCCAAATCCTCTAATATATTCTTAAGAAATATAATTTTAAAACTTCAGACCCAAACTCCCACTAAATCATAAGTTCTCTTTAACCCAATAATTAAATATACTAAGCAAATAATTAGGCATATTAGAAATTGGATGTTACATGGTGTGTATGATCTATATATAAACAATGAATATACAAAGGAGGGCAAGGTTTCTCTCCTGTTAATCTCCTCAAACGACGGTGCTTGGTCTTCCCGACCATCACCTCTTCCTCTTCCTCATCGAATAAATGTCATTTTAGTCTCCAAATCTGCAATCTCCACCCCTAAATAGATCTACCCACCTTTCCCTTCGAACTTTGAACATTAAAAAAGACTGGTTCCATTTGGGTGGAGTTTGTCGGTGGTGGGTGAAAGACTAGTTCCGTTGAAAAAGATGGACAAATTTTCGTTGAAGAAGATCAGGACTCTACTCGCCCATCTCTGATCCTCATCTGGTTCTTCGAGATCGATCGTTGCCTAACAAGAACTCTATTCGACCTTCTTACCCAAATCCACATCAGGGCTACGATTTTTTATGACAAGATCTGGGTTACTAGTTCACAAACAATTATGACAAAATCTATGGTCTTTTTACAAAGGAATCAGGTCACAGTTAGGGTTTTCACTTTCAGGTTATGGGTTTTTTGTTTTGAATTCGGTTTAGAGTTTTCTTTTTAATTCGATTCAAGGATTCTCATAATTTGCACAAATTTGTTCTTGTGTGATGTTTATTGATATTATATTTGATTTCAATTCAAGGTTTTTGATTTATTTGTGGATCTTGATGTCTATTTGATTTTGGAACTTGTTAAGATCTTATGAATTGCAGTTTTATTACTCGATTTTAATCAATATTCTAAATGACGTGAGACGTGATAGCGAGGTCAAGCTTCAAACCTTACGAGTTGTAGCGAGACCATGACATTTTTCAAGGTGTGTCGTAAAGTGGCATACACACACATCCATCCACACTTGTATGTGTTATTGTTTTGGATAATAGTTAGAACAAATTAACTTCACGTAAAGTAATAAAACTAAAAAAGAAAAAAACAATTGATACCAAATATATAGAGCATATAGAAAATGATATCAAGAACGAGTTAAATCTCTTGAATTTTTACTTGTTACTTTTTTCAATTTTCAAAGAATTCGTGTTCGACTTTTCGTATAGGGGAATGTGAACAAGTATTTACCTATTTAAGGTTTTCGTTTTTAAGTTTCATTTTTAAGTTTATCTAAGTCCTAAGTCTCGTGCATTGCTCAATTTATATATTAAAGTAACCTCATACTTTAAAAATAACACGTCATAATGTGCCATAACATCTCGTAACGCGCCATGACGCGTTACAATGCAAGTCACGCCTTAGGATGGAGTGATAGGGGTTAACGTGACAACGAGCCTAAGCCTTGACGTCATAACGAGTTTTTTTAGAACCATGGTTTGATTCATGGATTAATTTAATCTAATTTTGAATATTATTTGAGTTTGAATTTAATTTGGTTTTTAATGTATGGGTCTTTGATTTGTTGTGTTCGATAATCATTGGTACTTGATTTAGGTTTAATAAATAAGTAAAATAAATTAATTAAAAATAAGTAAAATGACCAGAACACTTTTCTAAACTAACAGAGTTAACTCAACTTTTTTAACAAAGTTAGATTTAGTAACTCAATATGTTATAAAATGTAAATAATAAGGATATAATCTATAGATATTTCAAAATAGAGGGACCGGAATGTTAAAAACACGTAACCTGTTGAATTTGTTGCTGGAGATGATGTTAGCGATTAACAATGGTTCCAACTTCCAAGCGAATTGATTTTGCGAAGGAGCAAAGGAAATGGTAACAAAATTAGAAAGAAAACGAAAGAAGCGATCTCAAGTTATATATATGAACAGGACCATCTTCAATACAATCTCAAATTCCCAATATCTTCGTCTACTTCAAAAATGTTCAACCATGGATCAATTCAAACAAATCCACGCACAAATCATCACCCACGGCCTTGCTCGATTTACTTTCATAACTAGCAAGCTCTTAGCTTTCTCCGCTACATCCGATATCGATTATGCCCGCATGATCTTTAACCAAATAAGCTTGCCTACCATCTTTGATTATAACTCCATCATATCAGGTTACTCTAAAACCTCAAAACAAGAAATGGGTATCTTAGTTTATACACAAATGCGTAACAATGGCATTGAACCAAATGATCGTACTTTCCCTGTTTTGATCAAAGCATGTCATTGTGAATCTTCGTTGCTTCAAGTGTATGGACAGATTGTGAAACATGGAAATGTTTCGGATGTCTATCTGACCAGCTCGCTTATAACTATGTATTCGAATTTTAAAGCTGTTCAATGGGCTAAACAGGTATTCGAAGAAAGCTCATATAAGAATGTGGTTTGTTGTACTAGTTTGATAACTGGGTGTTTCAATAATGGGCTTGTTGACGAGGCTCGTAAGGTGTTCGATGAAATGCCTGAAAGAAATGATGTATCATATAGTGCAATGATATCAGGGTTTGTGAGGAATGAACTTTTCAACGAAGCAATCGAGTTGTTTCTCCAGTTGACAAACTATGGCCTAGCAAAGCCTAATAGGTCTCTTTTACTGAGCATTCTCAATGCTTGCGGTGCAGTTGGTGCTCTTGATGTAGGAAAAAGCATACGGTGTCAGTTAGTTGAAGACTCTTTCGGCATTAACCTCGAGCTTGGTACTGCATTGATAGATTTCTATGCAAAATGTGGGGATGTAGATACAGCCCACGATATATTTAGCAGGATGCCGCATAAGGATGTTGCTACATGGAGTGCTATGGTTTTGGGGTTAGCCACGAATGGGAAAAATGAAATGGCAATCAAGCTTTTTGAGGAGATGGAACAGAAAGGACCAGTTCCAAATGACATTACATTTGTTTCTGTTCTTGTTGCTTGTAATCACAAAACTCTAGCCAAAAGAGCATGGTGGTTTCTTGGAAAGATGAGCAAAGTTTACAGTGTTAAACCAGTTATTGAGCACTATGGATGCATGGTTGATCTGTTGACTAGGTCTGGGCAGCTGAAAGGAGCACAGATTTTGATCAAATTGATGCCAATGGCACCTGATGGGGCTATATGGGGATCATTTCTACATGGGTGTCTAATACATAGTGAAACACATCTAGCAGAGGGAGCTGGAAAACGATTGATTGAGTTAGAGCCTCAACACAGTGGACGGTATGTTCTGCTTGCTAATATGTATGCAGATATAGGAAGTTGGGAAAGTGTGATTAGGTTGAGGAATATGATGGCTGACAGAAAAGTTGCTACTGCTCCTGGTTGGAGTTTCATTGAGGTTGATGGGATTGTTCACAAATTCTTTGTTGATGATCAATGTCACCCTCGAGCTAGAGATCTCCATGAAGTCCTACAAGTACTGAATAAGGCATCATTGAATTAGGCTATGTCTGATAAACTAGCCGATAACCTAGCCGTTAGCTGTTGGTTAATAAGCTAGCCATTAGCTGTTGGTTAATAAGCTAGCCATTAGCTGTTGGTTAATAAGCTAGCCATTAGCTGTTGGTTAATAAGCTAGCCATTAGCTAACAATGTGAAATGACCTACAAATGGCATGTTGAAAAATTAATTGGGAAAATAGAAGGGCCTAATTGGAAGAAAAAGAACACTTTCAAAAAGTTAGCTTATCAGCTAGCTTATGGCTTTCAATAACCTAGCTTATGATTGCGAAACATGATATTAGTGGGCAGGTCAGGTACAGCAGTATAATTTGTTCACTTGTGACACTTCAAAGTCCTATAAGATACTATACAGAGAATCAGCTTGTTCAAGGGTGACTCTTTCTGGACAGAAAGAAATCTGAAGATTACTCTGTCTACTTCTCTATAGCCGAAACAATCATTGGCTGGTCGTTGTGTGTCACGTGTACGACCGACCACAAAGAAATCAAAACCAAAAAGGGAAGGACATGGTCACGAAACCTATGATGAAAACCCTCCACACACATTGTAGTCTTCACCTTCCCTAACAAATCATTCATCACCAACCAACCGTCAGATTTTGTTCTTTTATGTAAACCGTTTCCAAACTCTTTTCAGAGTTAAACATTTAAATACATGTTTGCTGCAAGTTCCGTTGTCATAAGAATCTTTAGAATGTCTGGATGCATTTGCATGGGTTTAAACCCAAATGCATTGAAGCTTTTCCATGAAACGAACAGGAAAACAGTTTCAAATGGTTCTAGGATTCACTTCATGAAGGTATTATGATAACTTTTCATAGCTATGGCTTTCTTGATTTAGATATTGATTTGAATATCTTACTCATACACTGATTCCTGTCTCTGAATGTAATATAGGTTTGAAATCCGATTGATAACAAGAAGTTTGAGACTATTTCCTATCTTCCACCTCTTACAGATGACTCCATTGCCAAGGAGATTGATTACATGATGAAGAAGGGATGGGTGCTGTCTGGAATTTGATTCGGTAAGATCAATTAAGCAGCAATAAATATAAACAGTTACATGTGATACTACAACAAAATTCGGGTTTATAAGACGCCAAAATTGTGTAAATATCCCAATAGGACACTTCTCTAATGTGTCTTATAAAAAAGTGCTTCTTGTAAAAAGATGTGTTCATAGGGCACTTTTCTAACGTGTCTTATAATAAAAGTTGTCCTAAAAAAACTTATTAAGACATCCAAAAACATCCAGTGAAATTATTGTATCACTTTTATATATGACACAATTATTTGGTTCTATAAACAAGTCTCTTAAAGACACTTACACATTTGTGGCATCCTGTAAATCCAATTTCAATTTTGTTATAGGGTGAATCTGAAGCTCAACTTCCAAATGATTTGCTTCATTCCTAAACATGCCCTGGATGATTTTGTTGATAAAAACAAGATTCAAGATTAGATATTCCGATTAGTAGCACCAAGAAACAGATGATGATATCAATTTATGGTTAACCAGGACGTAATCGAAAATGGGGTTTGTTGATTCAGGTGGGATATATATTCAGAGAGAACAGCCGACTTCCAAATTACTACGATGGAAGATACTGGATGCTGCGGAAGCTGCCGATGTTTGGTTGCAGTGACGTCTCACAAGTTCTGAATGAAATGGAGTACAGGAAAGCATACCCAAATGCATATATAAGGTGCTTGGCCTTTGATATGTTAAGCAGGCTCAGTGTATGTCTTTGTTATTCAGACACCTGCTTCCCCATGAAAGCTTTTTGTTCTGTTAGTTTCTTATTTGATCAAACATTCTCAAGTTTGTTGAATGTTTTTTTTTTCTGTCATGGTTTTCAATAATCAAATGGACTTGTTTGGAGGATATGAAGATTTTACTTGGAGATTACCTATATTTATTTGGGCTTGGCTACTCGATGAAAGCGTTCGACCGAATAACTATTGTTCCATTGTGTTTGAATATTCATTGCAAACTCGGAATCGTGTCAAATAACTTATTCACCCCCTCTAGGTTCTTCAACAGACACACATATAGGTTATTTACCAATACAAATTAGATAATCACTTACCAAATAAAAATCATCATCCATTGCTTGTTGGCTAGGACTCCAACAAAACCCACCATTTTTTTCAAAAAGGCTATAAAATATTACTTTTTTAGTGAATTTTCTTTTTGGGCCCCTAACAACAAGAAGACAAGGGCCTCCAATCGGATATCTTGATCCTAATTTTTAGTCGGTTCATTTGCAATACACATAGATAGGGGTGTAAATGAGTCAAGTTTCTAACCAACTACTTGATCGTGAGTACCAGCTTGTAAACAAGCGTCGAACTCAAGCTCGGTAAATCAAAAAATATTTGAGCTCGAGCTTTACATTGAAAAAGTTATTCGAGCTCGAGCCTGCTATAACTTTTTTTAACTGAGTTCGAATAACCTACGACTCGACTCAACTCGTTCCCACTTCTACACTTGGACACAACTGACAACAACACTCTCATCTTTGACTCCAAGTCCAAACAAACGACCACTTACCACTAGTTCATTATGAACTAGTCGAATTTTGTTTTAGTGTGTAATTTGTTCATTTGCTTCAAGTTTAAACTAAATAGAAAAATATATAAATAGTGGTATAATTTGTCAGTTTAACCAAAATAGTAAAAATCAAATAACAACCAAACCGAATAAGTTATCTTTATTTGGTAACCGAACCTTTTAAGCCGAAAAAGAGAACCCAAAACCGTTTTGGTCCAGGTAAATTATTCGGTTTTGAAATTTTTTCGACACTCCTAAGTGTGTCTCCAACCATAAAAGTTTTTCGATCCGCCACTAGTCACGATCCTCATTTTACCGGATAAGATTCTCAATCAATCATCAAAATAACCTTAGTATAAGCGTCAACAAGGGGTGCTCAAAAATCCGACCAACCCGATCAACCCAATCCAACCCAACGCGAAATAACCCAAGCCGAAGCAACCCGATGTCTAATCGAGTTGTAAAATTGTCAAACCGTAGGTATTAGGTTGATATTGGGTTACTATTATTTGAACCCAACTCAACCCGATGAACCCGATCCTTTTATTTCTTGGATTTAATATGATTATTGAATTTCTATTAATATATACATTAGACAATTACATTATCATGTATGCTTTTCATATACATATGTTTTCAATCTATTCATATTTTTATATAACTCATTCATATATATGTTCAATAACTATGAACATATATATATAAATTGAGAAAATTAACTGAATGTGATATACATAAAAAATATGGATAAGTTATATCAAATAGTTGATGATGAAAAAGAAATTATGAGTAGAGAATTAACATATTTAAAGTTAAAAGAATATTTTAATACACCAAAGTATCAACCCGACCAAACCGTACCGGTTGGGTTGCACTTTGGTTTGGATTGGATTAAGATTTTTCCAAACCACAAGCATTGGATTGGGTTGTTCAAATGTCTTCAACCCGATCAACCCAACCAATGAGCACCTCTAGCGTCAACTATCCGGTAAGCACTAACCTAGTAAAAGTCACCACTCTTACCCCTTGTCGGGCAAGATTCTCAGTCGGGAAAATGACATGTTCAGATTTTTGGCAAAGACCAAAATCATCTATTACCTGGTAAGAGATAGCAAGTGTTTGTTAAACAATCCCTTAATAGTGACAACCGCTGAGTTGAATACCCCAAATACTCGAGGGTTGTTTCATTTTTTTTATATTAAGTCATGTATTTATTAAGCTGTCTGTAAACAATGATCTATCTAGATGAATTAAGAATGAGCAAGTTATTCCATGTCTTCATGAATAAGCAGCCGAGTCATAACAGTCCTAGCCCCAAAATCCGTTCACAAACTAGAGACTTTTGACTGGAAATGGAAATACATATGCAACAACAGACAAATTGACTACACTTCATGCCAATCTTTTGGCAGTTGGCAAGCGAATAAAATGATCATTACAGATTAATTACACGATTCATAGTCCTTACAAAAACCGCTATCTGGCCCTGCACCAAAAGGTTTACGATCAGCGTCCCATAAATCATGTAGATTGGTCCGAATCATGTTATGGCAAAAGAGATCATGAAGGCGCTCTTGCTCAACCCAACTCCATCCTGCATAACCAGATCAAACCTTGAATTCAAAGATCAAGAACCAAAAGAGCTATGCAAACCGAGAATTTTTGGACAACCAACCTGCCGAATAAGCATATGTTACACGGTTTGAGCTTTGGCGGATGTACTCTTCACTTGTGTATTAACTTTCTCCTGGAATTTATGACGTTTTGCAAGAATTAGACATTAAGAATGATACTAAACCCATGTTTGGCAATTGTAAGCTCTTATTAGCCAACTTTTCAACTAACAGCTAGCTTATCTGCTAGCTTGACAACAATTTGATACAGATAACACAATATCTTGCTAATAGAGAACTCAAAATCTACAGGTAAGAAAGTTCATCTGTTCAAGGCCTGATCACTTTGATTTTATCCTATCAAAATCTATGAGGGTTGTTGTACATGTTTCCGAGGCATGGTTCTTTCATCATCAATCAGACTATTCCATTTACAACTCCATTTGGAGATTGCTTTCGGTAATAGATCATTCTTGATGTGATGCCGGTTTGAAGGTTTCTTTCTTATGCAAAAATGGAAAAAAAAAGAATGCAAAAGCTTACCACTCCGTTGCTTTCATAGTAATCATCGAGAGCCCACTGATATTTTGATTGATTCAACCCAAACCAATGTGCTACATATTCATCCAAACTCGAATGCACTGTAATACGAATGTGACATTAGTCAACCCTAAAGTGTAACATCAAAAGTATAAAGAACCCCAAAAACCAAAAACACAATGTTTGTGGCATATGTGGTTCTCCACTGCAAACCAAAAATGCCCAAATAATAACAATAAGAAATTACAAACGATTACGGAAATGTTAAATAAGAATGAAAAAATATTGCACTTCAACATTTTTTTTGTTAATCGTGGTGGTCCGGGCCAGCTTGCGCCCAAGGCCCTGGATAACAGCCAGGAACCCAGTGTCCTTGCACTTAACATTCACCCTTTTTGGTTTTCTTTTGGATTCTTTCAAAACCATAGTTTTGCAAGCACAATGGTTCGAAAAATCAATATTACTCATGTTTGCCGTCTATCGAAATGATAGAATGATTGAAGTCTTAATAATTCAAGGTTTTTAGTTACTCCACCTCTAACCTGGAATGTTCTGACAAAGGAGTTAGAGTGTGTTGTAACTAAACCCCTTTTAAACTCCTTTTATGTTTTTTTTGTTAAAGATAGTGATTGTTTGTAGTTATACTAGCTATAAATAGGAGTTCTATTCTTGTAGAAGAGGTATCAAGATGATAAATGAATGATTTCCTCTCTATAATTCTTTCTCTATTCTCTTCTTTCTAAACAAATCTCTCATCTCCCCTGTTATGCCATTAGAGGAGAGCTTCCAGCGACCTGTATCAGTGGTATCAGAGCCAAATCTCCTACAATTTTGTTTGAAACAAAATGACAACCATAATAAAATTTTAAACAGGAGTTCTATTCTTGTAGAAGAGGTATCAAGATGATAAAAGAATGATTTCCCTCTCTATAATTCTTCTTCCTGAATCACTCATCTACCCTGTTCTGCCATTAAAGAATAGCTTCTAGCTTCCTGTATCATGCATGGTCTTTGTTCATTACTATTTTTCCCCTAAATTTTTTCTCCAGAATTAGCTGAAGTGAAACTGGTCAAGGATTGGGCATCAAACAAAGCAAATTGTTCAAATCTAGTGAAACAGGTAGATATCCATCGCAGTTTTCATATACATTTTCCCTGCAAATATCATAAAATTCAAATTGAATGGAAATATAAATGTTACCATTTTGAACTTTGGCAACGGCATCCCAGAAGAATCCGAGTTTCGATGAAGTGGAGTTGTGGTACTGAACCGGCGGAGGTTGAACCAGAGGAGCAGATTTCAATGGCGGCCGTTGGATCAGCGTAGGAGACACGGTATATTTCTTCGGTGATTCGGAAACCGACATAGAAGATGGATCTGAAGAAGGAGTAACGAAGACGGTGTAAGGGCCCATCTTTCCGATCGTCGGCGGAGGTGTCGCCGGTTCTTTGATGATGGTCATTCTTAGGTCGAATTTGAGGGATTGTGATGCAAAATTAGAGAAGATCAGAGTGAACACAAGGGTTTTGCAGCAGATTCAGAGAGCGAAAGGGGGTTCTGGTGGGATCTCTGTCTTTGTAAAAGTGGCACTTTCTTTTCAACTTTTTCGATGGATGGCTTTTTTGTACTTCCAATTCGAAAAAGAATAATCATAATATATTTAGGTGTTAAATGTCTTAGAATTTGAACCACGTTAAATAACGAGAGAAGCTAATGACATTTCTATAAATCTATACTGTATTATAAAGCATTTGGCTAAAATTTTTAAAAACTTTTAAAACTCTTAAAAACTTTTAAAAACTCTTAAACTCTTTCTTTGCTAAACGATTTCATCTCTATCCGATTTCATCTCATATTTAAATTCATGAAACTAACTGCAGATAAACACAATCAAATACAGGATAAATATTTCATTTTAAATATAAAAAACCTAAAATATAATTAGTATAATCATTAAATTCTAACAGAATACTTAATTAT